CATCTGAATTGATGACATCGAAGGTCCATTTGAGTATTCAGCTCTCCAACATATGTGTAGTATTTATAAATATACACATGTACATCTATATAGATTTCTTCTTGTTGGTTGTTTGGGGAATGTTTCTTGAGATTCTGCTCGTCTCCCTACTATGTATGTGTCTTCTAGCCTTAACTATGAGTTATATTACATAATACTAGATGTTAAAGTTAAACTTCAAATGCAAAAGTCATCTAATTGAGCTAATTCCGATTCTGATAAACAATGTGTTTGGGCAAAATTTCCCTAATACTTTCAGCACACGTTTTAATTTTCTATGTTTTACTGAACATATATAGCTAGGTGGCAAAGTGGATACAGCATTGAGCCTAGAATCACAAAGATCTGAGTTCAAATGTAGCCTCAGACACTGACTAGCTATGTAGCCCTGGGCAAGTCACTTGTCTGCCTCAGTTTCCTCATCTGTAAAATTGGGATAATAGCACAGGGTTGCAATGAAGATTGAGTTATTTACAGAATGCTTCGCAAAACTTGAAGCACCACATAAATGCTATTATTGATATTCCTATATAAATTCTTCTATGCTCAAAGGCAGAAGAATTATGAATGTGAGTTGTTGGCTACAATCTGCAGTCACACTATTACCGGGTTAAAAGAGCCCAATTTCACCAGACCCTTAGAATGTCTAAAAACATATCCAAGGAGTCCCATTAGCATTAAGTTCCTAACCACTGCTTCTTCCACACTCTCTTGATCTGACATTTATTTTAAATCACCACCTACATATTTCTTCTCCAACCCACTTCCTTTGCAAAGCTTTTCAGTTCATTTTATGATTGTCATGTTTTCATTTCAATTTTTCTTAAGTGCCTGAAAAACTTACTCTGATTACAAGAATGATGTACTTTTCTCCTGATTGTAGCAGTTTATACGAAAAAAGAAACACAAAAGGTAAATTACATTATGCTAGTTTTTCCAGTAAGGGGAAGGTGAATGTCTAGAATAATTTGGATGCTAGTTATAATCATTTCATCAGATGCCAACCCTTCCATCACCATTCCTTTCATAAGACAATAGCTTTTGTTCCTTTTTCTTTTTTTTTTTTTTTTTTGGTGAGGCAATAGAGGTTAAGTGACTTGCCCAGAGTCATACAGCTAGTTAAGTATTATGTGCCTGAGGCCGGATTTGAACTCAGGTCCTCCTGACTCCAGGGCCAGTGCACTATCCACTGTACCACCTCGCTGCCCCTTCTTTCCTTTTTGCAGTTCCTTTTGTAAGCATAGACAAATAAAACCAGTATTGTCCCTTACTGTCCACTGTAATTGAATTTAAAGGTGCTCTAAGGTAACAAATGCAGTAAGCTCACTTTAGTGACATTTCATTTTCACCTTTGTGCATTTTCCACAAAGACACCCACCTCTTTGCACTCCCAATATCAGGAATGCATTCCCTCTTTACTGCCACTCTAAAACCTTAGCTTACTTCAAGGCTAAGCTCAGGTGCCATCTTCCCAGTTTTTATTATTCTTTCCCTCCACATTGTATGAATTGTACCCCTTCCTCCCACCTAATAGAATGCAAGATCTTTGAGGTTGAGGACTGTTTTTTCAATTGTGTCTCTTGCACCTTGCATATAATATTTAACACGTTTTTTGAATTAAATGATTGCCCATATACTTTTATTTTTAAAAAATTCAGTTTCAAGAAAATCTTGGAATAATAAAAGTCCTTCAACATTTAATCTTTCATTTGTTGTTCAAAGAGTACAATTAAGTTGTCATATAATTTTCCCTAACAGGAACTAACACTTTTTTAAAAAAAATGTCAAGTTCTTTGCAAACCTATTTCCTAGGTTTGGATAGTTTAACATCTTTTCAAAGTCTTTAAGTTTTCTAGTAACAGCTTCACATAGAATCATTATTCTCAGAACTCTACTTCGTAACTAATTATCTTTAATCAAAACTCCGCAGCTTTGCGCAATTCCTTCTACAGGTTACAACTTCTCTACATCTTGTAACACTGTCTTTAAGAGCTGACAATGCCAAAAAAATTTCTCATCCTGGAGTCTCAGATTTAGGGAGATTGGCCCAAGGATTGTTGTTGGATCCACACTTTGTTTTTTTTGTGTTAAGATCTGCCAAAGCTTGACTGGTATGGTTTTCAAGGACCCAGAGTCACCTCTATGTGATGAAGCATCAGAGAATTTAGTTAGCCAATTATAAAGTATTGGGAGATAGAAGCTTCTGACTTTAGCAAGAAATGTCAAAGCTGGAAGAAGAAATTAAATTTATTTCCATTCTGCACATGCAAAATTCTTTGAAAATAAATGGATATGGGTAATTAAGGTTTTAATTTCAACATTTATGAATTTTCCTCTGTGTGCAAAGTACTGTGCAAAATATTAAGTGAAATAGGAAGATTAGAAAGAATATAGTCCCTGCTGTTATGGAACCTTCATAAGGATGCAGATTCCAAAAAATATGAAATTGAACTGGAAGTGAATGTTCAACATCATATTGGTAAGGGCACAGACATGTGAGCCATCAAGAATGCTACCGTAATTTAATGTTAATAAAAGTTTGTTAGTGTAAAAAAATTCAAAAGGAGAGTGAAGAATCATTGTGTTGGTGAACATACATGGAATACTAGTAGTCTTAGAGATGGCAGGGATCTTAAATATTTAGCCCAAACCACTTATTTGAGTTTAACTCCTTGCCAAAGAGAAGACACATGCACAAGCTACCTTACATAAATAATTTATTAGCACATGGAACACAGAAAGCATAAATAACTAATTCATTCAAAGACTTACAATGGCTAATTACTTTAACAAACAGCCTGTAACTTACTGATTACACACTTCTTTAAAATATAATGTAATCTTAGCAGCCACAGAAAAAAGTTCCACATGCTGAATCATCACATTTCATTTACAACCTGATTTAAAAAAAAATTGCGTACCAGAGACTCATTGACTGATCACTGAGTATCTATGCTGTAATCCCTCTAAATTCAGAAATAAAACAACTGTAAGAGAATCTATCCCCAAACAGTCAATTCTAATTCACTGAAGGATTAATTTTTGTCACTTTGAGGGAATTCACATGAGGATTTAAAAAAAAGAAAAAAACAGGGTCATTCCATACTCTTTGTTATAAAGTTAAGTCATGGTCTAACTATAGTAATACCTTTATTATTATTTGTCTAGATCATATGTCAGTTTTGAAAAAAAAATGAGCAGTAATTTGATGGCAGAAACAATGCAGCACCTGTTGGTAGCAATTACATCAATCTCAGATAAAAAAAACCCCAGTTGATACTAAAAATTCTGAACTGAAACATATATATATATATATGTTAAAACAGGAATATCTGCAACATGAATCTGGATTTCTTATGTAGACTTTGTAAAAATACCACTCTGCTGGTTTCTAACCCTAAATGACAATGCCACAAAGTAATGTGATTTTCTTTCCTTTTTATATGTCAGGACAAGTGCACAAAGTTAATTTGCTTAAGGATGTCTTTTTACCAGACAATAACAAAACACCCATCTCTTTAAGGATGTAAAGATAAATTAAAAGAATAAGAGTGCAAACTTCCAGTGTTGGCACGATTTAAAAAAAAAATCTCAATAAGTCAAATATGTCCAGATAATGCATCCACTTAAAAGGCTTTTTGTAAACATTAAAATGATATTTCTCCTGACCGAAAATATCTTAATTACTGGCATATCAAAGGGTAGTGGAAGATTAATTCTGTCTATAGGACAGAACTCATTACAGTAAAACAAATAAAAATCCAAGCAAAAAGCAAACTGCAGAAATTGTGGGCTGTGGGGAAGGTAAATACACCCATTGGGTATTCTGAAGCTTATAAAGCGCCTTGAGCGCATCAAGTAGAAAGGCACTATATAAATGTAAGTTATCTGAAGTAATCATTTACAAACCAACAAACTGTTTTAGCATTTATTTTTAAATACAGAATTTGAAAATGTCAACTTATAACCAAAATGATCTTCCTTTTTAAATAATCCAGGTGAAATTCACATCTCCTTACTGGAAATCTATTGATACCTTGGACTATTAATTTAATTTGCTTTCAAGTTTTAAATTAAATATCCATATAGCATTTCCAGTCTATAAAGTGTTGGTGTGGGGAAATTAAGCATGTTACAAGTGGATTTTGCATAGTGACAAGATTGTGTGATTTGCTTCAAAAGAATGACTTATAAATGGTGCTCTTCTTTCATCAAAATTAATGGAATTAGGAGTACAGAAAGCGATTTCATAATGCACTCCTGTACAAGTTAGATTTTAAAAACTGTCCACTTTAACCCAGAATTGAGACCAGACTGAACAACAAAGAAAAGAGAATTTAAAGCTGACCCCCCCCCCCCATGCTCTTTGCATTGAGATTACTGAAAGCATGTGCCAGGAATCTCAAATATTCATACACACACAGATATTGATAAAGGCACATTTTGAAGAGAGCTCCTCAAGGACATCATTTCACTGATCAGAGTGAACTTCTTTCACTGATTCCTGCCCCTCTTTTAAAAACACTGTGTTGAAGAAGGGTATTTTTTTTTTTTTACATTGAGGGTTTTTCATAATGTTTTAGGAAAATGATGAAAATAACTGTATAATATTACAGCTGGGAGGGACCTTAGAGATTCATCTTGTTCAACACCTCCACTTTATAGATGTGGAAATTGAGGCTCAGAAAGGTTAAGTGACTTGCCTTATGTCACACAACTAGTTTGTGGCAAAGGCAGGGCTAGAATCCAGGCTCTCCTGACAAATCTTAGGCAAGTGAAAAGTAATGCATGCATATGACACTTTATGACTTTAAACAAACATATATTTTGGGGCAGAGAACTTTTATGTAAATAGCCAGATGATTAGAAAACTGAATGGGAACTTTGTGCTACATATATATGGAGTACTAGTTTCAATTTTTTGAAACATCTATCTCTTAAAAAACATCATGAAAGAGTAGTAAATCCATATTATTTATTAATTTCTTGGGAAAAGTGAAACTTTTTATCTTTTAAGTATCTGAATGATACTCTTTTTATAACAGGTCAAGCAAAGTAAAATAGCCAGTAAAATTTATTTTAAAATGCACACACACATTCAGCTTTAATACAACTAAAATATAATCCAAATGGGGAAAAAAGCTATTTGATCCCAAAGTGTCAATATGGAATGATTTCATATACATATCTGGAATTTATGTAAGGTGAAGATTTAAATCCTAAAATAAAAATAATTTTAAAAGCCCTGATTATAATTGAAGTTCTGACATAATTTAACCTACAGAAATGCTACTTATCCCTGCTAGAGTTTCACAGTATCTGGCCTATTTGATGTTAATATCTGTTAAGTCACTGGCACAGGGTGCTATTTCAGCAGTTGGTATTCCATAGCCAAAATCTGTCATGCACCACCAAGTGTGACAAGAGAAACACCAAAAAGCTTTGGGATTGAAACTTATGTTTAAATTTTTATGGAAAATAAAGTTGTAAGTGCTTAGCAGTGACTGATAGCTGGTATAAATATTGGCAGCCTCTTTTCCAAAGACAAATAAGTAAATCAAGAGATCTATGAGAAACATTCAAATATTTTGGCAATGCAGAAGATGTAAATGTCCATGAAAATCCATGAGATGCTTCCAAAAATACTCAGTTACTTGACAATCCAAACTTTACTCTTTGCTTAGAGAAGAAAAATAAAAACTCAACAAACATAGCCAATGGCTGTCCCAAGAGTGGCCTCTTCTAGAGTTATTTCAATGATTAATCTCTGTGGGGTTTTCTTTTGGGTTTTTCTTCATAAGATTCTCCATACTCGTTAACTCTGCTCTTATCCACAGGATAAAGCCTGAAATAAGACAGTTTTAACAGAATTATTCTTTTCCATATGGCATTTTAAGTTATAAGTATTATCATCATGGCGGGGGAGGGAAGAGAAGAACAGCAGGTTAGACTTGATTCATTTCCCAGTTATCTTACAGTACAAACTAAACAGTGTGAACACATTAAAAATGTGAAATTTCAGAGACTTGGCGCCAATGAATCCAGGAGTCTGAAGCGATAATAGAGTTCTTTTCATTTAAGTCTACTTTTTTAAACAATCAAAGTTTAAATTTGTTGCTCTTCTACAAAAAAAAAATACAAACAAAAAAAAACCACTCTGAAAGATATAACTATTCAAAGGAAGGAAAGGAGTGAAGAAAGGAAAAGAAAGAAAGAAGGTGGAATGAGTCCACCTCGGTCAGGAGAGAAGAAACTTGCATTCACTTTTCAGCAGTTGGGAAAAAACCCAAAATTCCATAACCTTTATTTATGGAGACTTATCAGTTATTAGAAATTAACAACATAAACTGATGAGGTCTCTGTTTCAGAATGCAAAAAAAAGATTCAAATGTGACAGTCAGTAAGAGAATCAAACTAAAGATTATGCCCTTTTTTTGTCTCCCATTAATACAGCAGAGCAGAGAAAGCTCAGTATCCTAACAGAACCTCTCTCCTCAAACCTTCTATATCCCCTCCGGTCACCCCCCTTCCCCCCGGCCATCCTTAACTCCTACTTTATTTAGAGACTATTCTCTAGGAGCTCCCCTCTTCTCTTCATCTCAAAACTCTTAGACATAATCCCCTCCCCCATTTCTCCTTTAATCCAATGTCTAAGGAAGAGGTGATGTTTCTCCTTGCTAAGTTCAACTCCTTTATAAAATATCTTTGGATCCCCATCTCTGTCTTTTCCTGAAGATTGCTCCCATAATCATTTTCCGCCCTTGTCTCCCATCTTCAATCTCTCCTTTCCTGTTGCCTACCAGTATGTCCTAGTCTCTCCTAATTGTTAAAAACCTTCACTAGACCCTACCCATTCCCTGTTCCCTATCAAATTACTGCCCTTTCTCTTTCCTCCTTTTCTTATTCAAACTCCCAGAAAAGCTGTCTACATTTGTTGCCTTCACTTCAAGTTCTCTCACTCTCTTCTCAACCTTTTGCTCTCTTCCTAGAAAGACACTCACTCTCCTCTGGATTTTGGAATGGCTCTCTTATCTATAGGAACCTTCTTGAGCTCCTTTTAAAAGATTTTATCATTCCTATCACCCCCCGCCAAGGTCCTGTCCTGAACCCACTTCTCTCTCCGCACTCTTACACTTACATGATGACCTCATCAACTGCCTTCCATAGGTTCAAGGTTCATTTCTATGTATATGATTCTGAGACCTACATATCTACTCTTTGTTCCCTCTTGAATTCCAAGTGAAGGTCTCCAACTGCTTAGTGGACATATGAGATTCTATGGTTCTTCTTTCTGACCCCCAGGCCTCCATCGCCTTCTCTCCTCATCTCTGCCTCTCAGAATCCTTAGCTCAAGAATCATCTTTGCCAAGAAGTCTTTTCTGATCCCTCCAGTGCACTACTGCCCCACCCTAAATTACCTTGTATTTTTTATGGAAATGTTTATATGTGTACATTTTCTCTCCTGAAAGAATGTAAGCTCCTTGAGAGCAGAGACTTTTATTTTTGTTCTGTATTCTCAGTGACACACAATAGCACACAACAAGTGCTCAATAAGTGCTTGCTAACTGATTATAGTCTTTGGAATATAGTCTGCAGCTAGCTGGGAAAGATTCTCTTAGATTGGGCCATTGAAATTATGCTGAAGGAGGCAAGGAGTAGCTGGTCTGAGCCTTTCCTTGTAGAACATATGAACACTATCTCACTTGTAGTATATCAGAGTGCTTTGATTTTTATAATCACTACTATTATTTAGACAGAAAACCCTAGAATGAAAGGCAGTCATGCTATAAAAATGTGTCATTTTTATTACCACGGCTTCATTTAAGAATATCCAACTACTTTTTCTCTAATTCTGTGCTACTGAAACAATCTTTTAATCTGTGGTTTGGTCTCTAGTGTCCTGTTCAATGACAAGTAGTAGTTATCCTGGTAACTCCCATTAAAAGTTGATAATTTGGGATTCTAATAGTTCTTTTTTTTTTTATTAAGCTTGCTTAGTATATAGATGGTTTCCTTAGAGTGAAACATCCTCAAGTGAACTAATAACATCAAATTTCTAAACTTGTAAAACTGAAGACCAGCACCTGGGCATGTGGTACCTTTCACAAAGGTACAAAAATTTCATAAGTCCTAACATGCAGAGTCTATACCACAATTTTAATGGAAATATTCTACTAAACAAATAAAATATAGGAAGAAGTAACATTTCTAAATTTGGCATAATTATTTTGAGTCAAATTGCTAGTGACTTAGCAAATAAACTAATGAAACTACATTGGGACTAGTGCTTGCAAATGCTCATTTTTCAAGTGAACAATGAGTGCACTTATGCCCAAAGTCCCATATACAAACATACAACAGTACATTAAAAGCAAAGGATGGGAACACAAAACTAAATGTGAAAAAACTCACCATCTTTGGTAAAGGTAAACAAGAAATACCACATCATCCCTAAAACATGCCAGCCTATGTGATGTTGGCATAGTGATGATAAAAGCAAAGATATCATCAATGAATGTATTAAAAGCCTGCAAAAGTAGAAGGACATACAGGTTAATAAATACTGGATATCATATTTGTTTCTGTAACCTGAGTGAAATGGACTGAGTAATAATTAAGGTGAATATTCAGTGAGCAGAAACAGAAATAAATATATAACATAGCAGAAAATGAGCACTGACAACTATATCTTTTACCCTTTAACACTTCCTTGTACATTTTTGTTATTCGTCTAGTATATAATATTCTCACTTGTTTTGAGTAAAAATTATTTCATCATACCATAAACCTAACTGAATGCAAGAATACAAAAATCCTCTTGTCACTGACTAAAAGTTAAATAAAAAATAAAAATGTGCTCTACAGTCTAAAATATTAGTAAGGTGTAGCTCAAGTTGTATCCAACTAAATTCTAAGATACCTTTATCTTTAGCCTATCAGCAGCAATTTCCTAGTTAATTTTAGTTCTCATACTAAACAAAAAGACTAAACCTAATAAGACAGATGTTCCCCTAAGTCTGTTAGATTACATCCCAAAATGACCAACTAGCAAATGGATATGATATGCTCTTGTTTTCTATAACCAATCCTTCTTAACCCAAGAGAAGATTGGAGCAATTTGATCACTCAGCAGCTTGCAGGGGGTGTTCAAAAGGTAGTTTAATGAAAACAATAGGTCACAGGTGATCATTTGTAAGGTTTTCACCAGAGACATCAAAAAAGTTGTAATCTATTTAATAAGCTCACAGAAAAAGTCTTTGGGCTGGTACTGAAAAACACATCTGGAAATCCAAAAGCAACAGGTTACTAAGTTGACTCATTGTTCTTCTCAGACAATTTACTTTATGTTATATATTATAATATACAATGTAATATATAAAATATGAAATATATAATAAATATAATATGTAATTCAACTTTATGTTGACAAGTTACTGTCAAAATACAGAAAAAACTTCCCCACTTCAATGAAATAAGTTAACCTATTATCAGGATACACTGCAGAGTTCTTTCACTATCTTTTCTAAAAAAAGAAGAAATCACTCTCTAGGACACAAGGAACTACTGTGCTCACCACTGAACAGAACGAATGGAAACAGATCTAGGTAATACTGTGAATTCCTGTAAAAGCAGGTCATTATAGACTTTGAAGAACCCAAAGAATGATGCTATGGTACAGTCAAATAAACCACCATTTTCCTCCATAACAAAAAACTTAAAGTACTTCTTGTTCTAAAACTGTTCAGAGATGTACTTTAAATAATAACTCAAAGTCTTACTATATTCTTTCCTTCATGGGATGTCCCATGACTAATCATGGTAATCAACTTTCAGAATTATGCTTGACATTTAGAAATTTAAACTGTCTAGGTATATGACTTGATTATTTGGATTTCTGATTTGTGTGTTTTAAAGGAAAAAAAAAGATTTCAAAAGTACTTTCCTAAAAGAGATTGGGCATGTATTTAAAATTCAGAAGAATTTTTAAGATAGTAAAATTATATAATTATTTTCTGTTTGAAAGCTTTTCATGTATATTTGGTATCATGTGGTTATAAATCAAGGTTATGCTCTACAACTACTATAATTGGAGGATGATTTTTAAGTTATTGTAGAGAATTTCTTTAAAAAATAACAATTGTCTTAAAAAATTTACAACCACAGGACAAACTGGCTACATAAATTTGAAATTATATATCCAAATGATCCACTAGCCTTAGAGCAACCTTGAGAATTACATCTTTCAGTTATATTTAATCTTGCTTAACACCAAAAGATAGTGACAGCTGATACACTAGCATGTAGTCTTTTCGAGATAAAGAGCTTTCCCCTTTGACCCAGCAACAGCATTTCTAGGGCTGTATCCCAAGGACATGATACAAATGGGACCCCCACATGTACAAAAATATTTACAGCAGCTCTTTTTGTGGAAGCCACAAATTGGAAATTGATGGGATGCTCATCAATCGGGGAATGGCTGAACAAGTTGTGGTATATGCATGTAATGGAATACGATTGTGCTATAAGAAATGATGAGCAGGAGGACTTCAGAAACACCTGGAAAGACTTGAATGGACTAATGCTGAGCGAAGTAAGCAGAACCAGGAGAACATTGTACACAGTTAACAGTCACGCTGTGCGATAACTAACTTTGATAGACTTAGCTCTTCTCAGCAATGCAAGGATCTAAGACATCTCCAAAAGTCTCATGATGGAAAATGCTATCCACATCCAGAGAAATAACTATGAAGTCTGAATGCAGATGGAAGCATACTATTTGCTCTTTTTTTTCCCTTCTGTTTTGTTTTGTTTCTTCTTTCTTGTGGTTCCTCCTATTGGTTCTAATTCTTCTTTACAACATGACTAATGTGAAAATATGTTTAATAGGAATGTATATGTAAAGCTTATATCACATTGCACGCCATCTTGGGGAGGGAGGAGAGAAGGGAGGGGGAGAAATTTAAAACTCAAAAATTTATGGAAGTGATTGTTGAAAACTAAAAATAAATTAATTAATTAAAAAAAGAAAGAAACAGCTTTCACTCTCTCTTTCCATTCTTTGCAAATGTGGGTGACTGTGTATGGAGCTCTGCCATAAACTCTATTATGTTTTGATGAGCTGTTTGCTTTTTTTTTTTTTAAATAAATATTCTTTATTACAAGGCTCTCTAAGGAGGGGAAAGGAGAGGGATACGTTTGGAAATGAAGGGGATGTAAAAACAAATGCTATTAATACTTAAAAAAAAGAAATAACACCTTTACTTACTTTGTATGTAAATGCCTTCCAAGGTAAATGTGCAACAGATTTCATCTAGAATAAAAGGCCACAAAAATATTATGGATCAGCATACAGAGAAAAGAGAGTTACAAAATGGGGGGAAAAAAACAAAAAATATAAAACAACCTGGAGACTACCTGAATAGAAACATGCTGGTATCTTACCTTATAATTCACGAACAGCTGGGGCAACATAAAGAGAAATCCAAAGGCATATACTCCTAAAGGAGAAAATACAGACATTTGATGAAGTCTGTAAAGTAGTCAACACTCCATGAGGTGCACAGTGGCACAGGGCACAGAAAACTGAGCTTGGCGTCAGTCGGACGTGGATTTCACTCCTGCCTATGAGCCCTTCCTATGCGACAGGGAAAAACCCTTAGACTTTTAGTGTTCTGGTCAACTTTCTAATGCTGAGCTGCAAAGTAGTTTCTGATTTTAACTGGGAAGAGAAAGTTTCTTAGACCAATGAAATCAAAGGTCCCATGAAAACAAATTACACAAAATAGTTATTTCGTTAAATAAAAGGTAATTGCTGTTGTTGTGTTTGTCCTTCGTTCTTAAAGAGGACCATGACATCAGGCAGATGATGACAAGACTTGCAATTGACTTTGATTTGAGTGAGGGAGGGCTGTGCAAGGTCATCAGTCTCACTTTCTCCTCTGGAGACATCTGGGTCCAGTGGTCAGATATTCATCAGGACATCATACATCCCTCACTTGAATACAATTCCCTTGCATGTCACGGCATCACCTTCCTGATGTCATGGTCCCCTTCAAGAACGAAGGACAAACAGCAACGTAATTCCCTAATGGACTTAAAGATTTATTGCATCTCATCAAGTGTCTTATTTATGCAGGAAGTAATTTGATATAATGAAACCAGCTCCAGCAAAAGGAATCAGATGATAAAGAGCTGTTATTCTACTTCCATTTTAGAGAGTGCACTAGCATCAAAACTTTCTATAACTTCCTGCAACTTTAGTTATTAGGAATATATCTTAGAGCAGACAGTTGTAGATAAATATAAAGAAATAACATCCTGAAAATCCTTCCTTTTGAAAGCTCAGAAAGGAGAGTCTAAATATAAAAGGCTTTTTGGCTAAGAAGAAAGGTTCTTAGAGATATTTTAATGAGTTAAGGATAAAATCCTGGGAGGACCTTACAACACAAAGTCAGATAGGTGTGTTGGTCTATTTGAAATTAATACCTCAGATGAAAATGAGGGAAAGGACTAGGAATAAATATTAAATGACAATGAAGAAAGATACTTAATCTGAAGATTAAGTATCTTCAGAGATTTGTCTTCAACATTTTCTTTAAAAAAGATCTTCAAAGCTTTTATATGTTATATATACTTTTGATATATATAGAGGAAATAGAAATTATGTTACAAATGTGTGGGACTTTTAACTATGGTCCATTATGTCAGTTACAAGAAAAGCCATGCCCTTGGAATTGGACTGCCTATTCCTGAAACACTGTCCCCTGGGACTGCACATCCACATTTGGCTGTATACTAATCTAGTGGCTGAAGGGGCAGTTCTGACAGTTGGGCCCTTTTGAGAACTGAATTTACAAAATTAAAATCAAGAGGTGACATATTTTATACACTTGATCACCAAAAATCTAGCCAAATAAGATCACTCAATAAAGAATATACAATAAGAACGTTTAAAGACTCACCATTGACAAAGCTGTTGATTAACCAAGAATACCAGCTTAAAAAAATAAACAGAAAAATTAGTTTATTATCAACATTATTTCATTTTGTACTTATCATCATATAACATTCTTTTTATATTCAGAGAAAATGACCATAAGTAATGCAGGAGAAGTATCCTTGTTGGTAGAGGCTGTGGGGTATAGAGATGGTTGCTGGGATATATTCAATATGAAATAAAAACTCTAGGAAGTATGACAGATACTGGATAACACAATAAATTTAAGGGGAAAAAAATCTATTCTGTAAAAACTTCAAGCAACAAGGGCTAATCTGGCTTTTCTTTTCAATGTTTATTCAAACTTCTGATTTCACTGAACTCATCTTTCCCCACTGATCACCCTTTCACACTAGTAAGGCTGTTAAGGTGGCACAGTAGAAAGTGTTGGACATGGAGTCAGGAAGACTTGAGTTCAAATCCAGCTTTAAACACTTATTAGATATGACCTAGGACAAATCACTTAATTTCTATGTGCCTCAGTTTCCTACTCTGTAAAACAAGAGACAAATGATTTATTTTTTTGAGACAAATGACTGCACCTACTTCCCGGCACCTAGTTTCCCTTGTTGTAAATAAGATATCTGTAAAGTTCTTTGCAAACCTCAGAGTGCTATATAAATGCTAGCTGTTATTACTTAGGTCTACCTACACTACATATGAGAGGATAGGAACCTGAAACTGGACTGAAAATGTTTCCTTTCTAGGTAATCTTGTCTAAATTCCAATGTCTTTTTTTTTTTTGTCACTGAACAACTCTTTATCAATTCTTGGAACTGGTTTGAATCTTAAGAGTGTTCTCCATCATGAAAGAAGGCATAATGATGCTTTGTTTACTTGAGCATAACTTCACTGTCCTCCAAACTAATTAACTCTCTTAAAGACTAGATAGGTCTTGCCAACCTTGGCTTAGGCATATTATAATTGTAGGTCCAGGCTCTTTAGAACACAAACCCTAGAGCTTACTATTAGTTTTCGGGATTACTTAATAAATCCTTCTCAAGACAACTCTCTATTGGGCTGATTGTCCAGATTGTTCACATGGAATTAACTATCCTGGCTCCTTCTGTTCTTGCTCTTGTCACAAGCATCCCAATCAGAAAATGTGTTAACTGCTTAATAAAACCAGTATGTCTAAGATCAGGCAATTTTACTACCTATTAAGTAGCACTGGTAAAAAGTTTGAAGGAAGAAAGATGTTAAATTGGTCAAAATGAAATGTTTGAATTAGCTGTAGTTCTGTCAATTCTGTACTTCATGCTTGCTTGTGCCTCATTAATTTCACATATTTGATTTTATTTACACAGTAATACCACAACATATGTGAGAATATGATTTTAACATAGTCACACTTTATCCCTAATCATTCATAATAGCTATCTACAGTCTAGACTTGTAACTTCTGGACTCTAGAGGTTAAAGGACTATACTTCAATATATTTTGAAACTCTAAATTAACCTATCTACAAATCATAAGGCAATTCTTTTGTGTTACATATGTAGCATTCTTCACTTGAGTTCTTTAGAAATAGGGACAGATAAGATGACCTTTTAAAACTCCTTTCTTATTATGAAGAAAAACTAGTTTTGTTAAGATTAAAGATTTTCCTCACCTTAAATCCTCAACTTCATCATAAAATGAAGGGGCAAAACCAGATTGGAGCAGCTAAGTGATTCAGTGGATTGTGGGCTGGGCCTGGAGTTAGGAAGAGCTGAGTTCAAATTTGGCCCCAGACACTTACTAGCTATGTGACTGTAGTCACTTAATCCTCTTTGCCTTAATCCACGGGAGAAGGAAATGGTAATACAGTATCTTTGCCAAGAAAACCTCATAGACAGTATGGTCCATGGGGTCACAAAGAGTCAGATGTGACTGAACAACTGAACAATAAAAATGACCAGATCACCCCTCAGAGCTCCTCCAGCTCTAAAATTCTGATTCTGTCTAACAGTTTAGAGTCCAGTGGTGGGGAACCTGTGGTCTCAAGGCCACATGTGGCCCTCCAGGTCTTCAAGTGCAGCCCTTTAACTGAATCCAAACTTCACAGAACAAATCCCCTTAACAAAAGGATTTATTCTGTAAAACTTGGACTCAGTCAAAAGGCCATACCCAAAGACCTAGTCGCAGGTTCCTCACCCCTGGTTTAGACAAAATAACCTAAATTTAATTATATGCATCACTGGCTTATTTGTAGAAGGAGTAGTTAATACCAAGAGCTCAATGGAGTATTCATCACCATGACCTACAGAGGGTGAAACCATTTGAAAACAGGTATAAAGAACATTTCCTAGTTAACTATGTCCATTTAATCTTTGGATATCTCTAGGTCAACTAGTAAGGAAAAATACTATTACTGATGAATTGCACAGTGGTGTTTTAAATTCACAACTACCTCTATATGCCAATTTACTGTTCCTCTTGCTAAAAAAAACAAAGTTAATAGTCATCATACTTAGTCATTAGTTCAAAATTAATTTTCTACTGAATTATTACCAGTATTAAATATGGTACTTTAAGGAATCTTACCTTTTATATTTGACATTTAGGAGTGAATAAGCTGCACCTCCAATACATAGAGGGTACAGTAAATAAGACAAATACTTCATAGCCTGGCAAGGAATGAAAAACACTGGATTGTCAGTGAAGAGTTCAAAATGTGAAACTATTTGAAACACATTTCATATAACTAGCAGAAAATGTGGTTAAGGAGGAAAGAACCCAATCTATGGCAAAACAGTAAAAAAATAAAAAGAATGAACAGACATGTGGAATTACATTCTCCCAAAGAAAAAAGGATATGTAATTTAGTTTAATCACAAGCTATATTTATGTTCCAGATTGAATTGTTTGTTATGGTTCACTAAACACAAAGAAAAAAACAAAAAAATTTCTATTTGGCCAAAAAAAAAAAGTGCCATTTATTATTCAAAATGCAAAACCACTGCTACCCAAACAACAGCTACCAAAAGATGTAATAGTTCCACAAACACTGGGACCATTTTTGTACGAATTACTTTGCCAATACGTTATAGTAATTATTTTTCCATTTCAGCATTGGATTAGAAAATATATAAACCTACATAACCTAAACTATGACTGACTTGTGCTAATATAATTTCAACGAAAAAAGACTGGAATATGTAAGAGATTATGGAATCTCCCTCAGAGATTTTTAAAATAAGAGAACCTCTCATCTGTCAAGGATAACATACAGGTAGATGGCCTTGCCTTTAAAGCACTGGGAAAGTCCAGACGACCTGCCAATGTTCCACTCAACCCTAAAACTCAAGTAAACTGCTATAAAAACAACAGCATGGTGTTACTTTTTTTAGGTTCCTTGTCTGTGATAATATGTATAGCCATTTAAGCAGAAAAATTTTCCAAAGTGTATTTATTAGTCAGCATTTTTGATGGGTATTAAAATTGTTTTTAAATTGTTACCATTATTTACTAAATTATTCCTCTCCTTAACCCTCCCCTAAAAAAGCCTTTCAAATCATTTCATATTGCTGATACGACGCCTTGATTGAATGTGCACTAATAGAGTCTCATTATAAGACATTATCTTACCTGAGTATCATATTCCTCAGTTTTCCTTTCGGATTCATTGTAAGCTCCAAACTGTTTTAAATTTTAAAAAATTTATAATTAGTTCATTTATGGAATGATTATGAAGTCTATTTAGTTACATATCTTAAAACCCAGTGATGTTTAATGGTAGAGAAAACCCCACAATTTTCACAAAACTGTTACATATTAAATTTCGTACTGTATATATTCAGATAACTTGCTGCAAGATTATCAAAAGACAACTAGAGAATAATTGTGAATATCATCTCTTCACAGTTTATAGAATATTATACTCTATTCACCGTTCTAAAATTCAAGCACAATCTATTAGAACATATTCATGTATATCTTAAACCAGATGTGGCTTTTCTAAGTTGAAAGTTAAAAGATAACATATGAATTACATTTTATCATGTGTTAGACAATCCTTAGATTTAAGTTTCTTTTAATTCTAATAACTATTTTTGTTTATTATACGTACATCAGCCAATGAAAATAGCAAAATGTATGGTGAATTATTACAAAATGAAAAAGTAACATTATTATATTCTAGTTTTAAATGAAACCAGTATTATAAAATTAATGCTGAAATATATTCTCAAAGTTCCAAATTCTGTTGTCCAAAAGTTGTCCAAATCCTAGACAACTCAGTGTCAATTTAGGATAAAGCTAATATTCCATTTCCTAGAAAATCCCCCATTACCTTAGAGCTGATCCTTTTTTGGAAGCCAAAGATGGAACTATCAAGCTAGATTTATCATTTTCCATTTTTCTATAATCCTCCCAAGAGCAAGTAAGAATTGTGTGGAGAAACGTTTGTCTCTCTTCCTTCCTGTTTTCTGCTTTCCTTCTGGCATGTGGCTGGCCTTCTAATGTGCAGGCTCTCCAAGCAACACACACATGCTAAGTAAAGTTAAAATCTGCAGGTATGAGGTATGGCATTAAAATAGGAACCCATTACAACTTGTGTTTACTTGGTTCCTTCGTTTTTAATGTTAGTATTCAAATCATGTTAATGTGGTCGGCAAAAAGCCAGTTTGCTCTTATCACTTTCTTGCTAAAAAAAAAAATCTTCAATAGATTCCTACTGCCTATACATAGATGAAATTCAAATTCTTTCACCTGGTTTTTGCCTAATCTGGCCTCAATCTAACTTTCCAGTTTTATTCCTCACTAGTCCCTATGTAAATCCTCCATAATGAACAAGATAGTCTTTAATTGCTGCTTGCATTTTCATTTCTATGTCTCTGTGAACACATACTCTCTTCTTTATCTAGAATTTAGTAACACATGGAATGAACACTGAATGAGTACTGTCCTAGGTGGTGAGAGAGGTACAAAGATAAATGTGACATGGCCCTGGCCCTTAGGGAGCTTATAGTCTAACCAAAAAAAGATATACACAATATAATTTAAAGTAGACTAATATGCACAAATCATAGTATAAACTGCTATGAGGTTGGGGGTGGGCCATCACCTTCTCTTACCA